CACATAGCTTTCACTATATGGCCTGCACCACATGGCTTGCATCTCATAGCTTACATGTGTACTGCACCAGGTAGGTTGCATCACATAGTTCACACCATATAGCTTGCGCCACACAGGTTGCACGGCTCATCCTACACCACGCAGTCTACGCCGTACACTTTCTTGCTGGCGTAATCACACTGCACATGTGTGTATTTCTGTTTGCATGTATGTCGTATATCACATCAGGTGGCGTTCAGCCCATCCCGCCACCGTGCCGTGGCTGTGGGTATGAAGGCTCTTGGATGTTCGTTGGGATCTCGCGGGGGGCCTGTCGGGGGCCTTATGGAGGCAGTTTGAGGCCGCTTGGGGGCCCGTTTTGGGGCCCCTTCTGGGCCTCTCGAGGGCCTCTTGGGGTCTCTTGGGAGCGAGGCCTCGGGGATGTCCGTTGGGATATCGTGGGGAGCCTCTCGGGGGACTTCTGGTGGCAGGTGCGACCCAAGCAATGCCCACGCACATGCTTTGAGGCCGGTTGGGGAGTGCGCTCCGCTAATCCAACGCGGAGCACTTCGAGAATCGCATGTTTTGAGGCCTTGAGGCGGATGAGCGGAGCGGCGTTGCGCTAATCCGACTCGGATTATTCCGGAAATCAGCGCGCATGTTTTGAGGCTAAGTCGCGCGGCGGCGCTACGCTAATTCGACGCAGAGCATTCCTCGAATCGCATGCTTTGAGGGCAGTTAGCGGAGCGGCGCTCCGCTACTCCTTCGCTACTCCGACACGGTGCACTGCAGGAACTGGCGCACATGCATTGAGGCCAATTAGCAGAGCGGCGCTCTGCTAAATCCTACGCGGAGCACTCCGGGGGTCGGCGCGCATGTTTTGAGGCCAGCTAGGGGAGCGGCGCTCCGCTAATCCGGCGCGCTGCACTGGGGAAATTGGGGTCGTGGCCCTTAGGGGTGAGGACTGGGACCTGAGCACCTTCACTTCGTGCCACAAGGGCACGATGGCGGATGACGGGAAGCGTCTTCGAGGTACGAGAAGCGAATCGGATGTTGTGGTTGACTGTGCAACATCTCAAAACATCTCTTATCCGTAAGGGCTTCGCCCCCTGCCGCCGGCCCCCTCTCTCGGAGAATGGGCCATGGAAGAGCTAAGCCACGAGGCCTTGGCGTTGTCGTGAAGCAGTATCGAAACTTCATGCGAAGCCGATTCGCAATCAGCAAAACCAACTGATCACAAGAGGGGTTACCACACCTGGCGATTGGTAAGACGTGTATGGTTTACGGGCTTGGTTACCACACCTTGCGATTAAAGGGCCGAGGGAGTTCTCGCAGTTTGGGTTACCACGCCTTGCGATGGATGTGCGTGAAGGGTGGCACCGAATTTCAGAAATGTGGCAAATCCCTTGTGTTTTTGGACCCTGACCCCGCGGATCTGCGTGAGGGGTGGCACCGAATTTCAGAAATGTGGCAAATCCCATGTGTTTTTGGACCCTGACCCCGCGGATCTGCGTGAGGGGTGGCACCGAATTTCAGAAATGTGGCAAATCACCTGTGTTTTTGGACCCTGACCCCGCGGATCTGCGTGAGGGGTGGCACCGAATTTCAGAAATGTGGCAAATCTCATATGTTTTTGGACCCTGACCCCGCGGATCTGCGTGAGGGGTGGCACCGAATTTCAGAAATGCGGCAAATCTCATATGTTTTTGGACCCTGACCCCGCGGATCTGCGTGAGGGGTAGCACCGAATTTCAGAAATGTGGCAAATCCATGTGTTTTTGGACCCTGACCCCGCGGATCTGCGTGAGGGGTGGCACCGAATTTCAGAAATGTGGCAAATCCCTGTGTTTTTGGACCCTGACCCCGCGGATCTGCGTGAGGGGTGTCGATTTCGAGCCCCCCCAGCAATTCAGACAACGCGCCCAGGAGACGCTAAAATTGTTTGGGCCTCTCCCCCCCTCGCGCGGTCAATCAACTAGTTACAGTAACCAGCAATAAGTCAACTAGTTACAGTAACCAGCAAGAAGCAGAACTGTAACACTGGAAACTAGAAACTACAACTGGTACAGGAAACTGCGAATCACGGGCCTCGCAGCCTGGTGGCCCCACAAGGGGGCCGGCGGATTAAAAGGGGCTGGCAGGTTGCACGGGGGACAGGCTTAGCGGATGACGAGAAGCGTCTTCGAGGTACGAGAAGCGAGCTGGACGTTGTGGCTGAATCTGCATCAGATCGGATTATCTCTTACTAACAGGGGGGGTGCGGATCGCACGCGAGCGAGAGTTAACGAATAACTCAAAATAGCGATTTCGTTTGATAGTTAACGAATAACTCAAAATAGCGATTTCGTTTGATATTCTCCTGACACAACTGAGCTCTTCGCGACACCACGTTTAACAAAAACAAGCGTTTCGTTCGAAACACTCTCGAACAGCTGATCGCCGCGAAATTCATGAATCTGTAAAAAAAAAACTACGTTTCGCCTGAGGCGTCCTAGCCAACATGTGGTGCCGACGGAGGTGTATGACTACCTCTTATGTTGAAAACGACGTTTTCGCTAGGGACGTCCTCAGAAAATGAGCGGCAGCACGGCAGACCAGAAACAGGAGCACGGCAGACAATTTGCAGTTCGTTTGCGAATTTTCAAAACAATGCTGTTCTCAGCATCGTCTTGACATCGTTCTTGAAGTGCTTCAAGGTGAAGAAATGAACGCCCCAAAAGGACCTTAACAATGGCTCCAAGAGCGCCCTGATGACTGTCGAACATGACGATTTCGCTGGGGACATACTCAAACAATAAAAACATACAACAGCATCGTTTTGAAAGCTGCTTATCTAACATCGTCTTGGGATCGCTCTTGAAAAGGCCTCCAGGCGGCCCAAGCCAGGCTTCTACTAATTACGATTGCGAAGGCCTGACGGCTGGTGCCGCCGACCCTGTTCGCAATGCGCAGCAAGAGATTACGAGGTTGCTCAAGGTCGGCTTGGCTGGAGCCCAGGGGAAGAGGAGTCCCAGGGGGGGGCGTCGTATCTGACCCGGGGGGGGGGTCGACACCCCCCCCCCCTCCCGGCGGGGGAGGGATCAAAGGGAAGGGGCTTCCCTTCGACTCAATTACGATCAAAGGGGGAGGAGTCCCAGGGGGGGGCGTTCGCGGGGGGGGGGGGTCGACCCCCCCCCCCCCTCCCGGCGGGGGAGGGATCAAAGGGAAGGGGCTTCCCTTCGACTCAATTACGAGGTTGCTCAAGGTCGGCTTGGCTGGAGCCCAGGGGAAGAGGAGTCCCAGGGGGGGGCGTCGTATCTGACCCGGGGGGGGGGTCGACACCCCCCCCCCCCTCCCGGCGGGGGAGGGATCAAAGGGAAGGGGCTTCCCTTCGACTCAATTACGAGGTTGCTCAAGGTCGGCTTGGCTGGAGCCCAGGGGAAGAGGAGTCCCAGGGGGGGGCGTCGTATCTGACCCGGGGGGGGGGTCGACACCCCCCCCCCCCCTCCCGGCGGGGAGGGATCAAAGGGAAGGGGCTTCCCTTCGACTCAATTACGAGGTTGCTCAAGGTCGGCTTGGCTGGAGCCCAGGGGAAGAGGAGTCCCAGGGGGGGCGTCGTATCTGACCCGGGGGGGGGTCGACACCCCCCCCCCCCCTCCCGGCGGGGGAGGGATCAAAGGGAAGGGGCTTCCCTTCGACTCAATTACGACTCAATTACGAGGTTGCTCAAGGTCGGCTTGGCTGGAGCCCAGGGGAAAGGAGTCCCAGGGGGGGGCGTCGTATCTCTCGACCCGGCGGGGGAGGGATCAATTGCTCAAGGTCGGCTTGGCTGGAGCCCAGGGGTTGCTCAAGGTCGGCTTGGCTGGAGCCCAGGGGAAGAGGAGTCCCAGCCCCCCCCCCTCCGGCGGGGGAGGGATAAAGGGGAAGGGGCCCCTTCGACTCAATTACGAGGTTGCTCAAGGTCGGCTTGGCTGGAGCCCAGGGGAAGAGGAGTCCCAGGGGGGGGCGTCGTATCTGACCCGGGGGGGGGGTCGCACCCCCCCCCCCCTCCCGGCGGGGGAGGGATCAAAGGGAAGGGGCTTCCCTTCGACTCAATTACGAGGTTGCTCAAGGTCGGCTTGGCTGGAGCCCAGGGGAAGAGGAGTCCCAGGGGGGGGCGTCGTATCTGACCCGGGGGGGGGGTCGCTACCCCCCCCCCCTCCCGGCGGGGGAGGGATCAAAGGGAAGGGGCTTCCCTTCGACTCAATTACGAGGTTGCTCAAGGTCGGCTTGGCTGGAGCCCAGGGGAAGAGGAGTCCCAGGGGGGGGCGTCGTATCTGACCCGGGGGGGGGGTCGACACCCCCCCCCCCCTCCCGGCGGGGGAGGGATCAAAGGGAAGGGGCTTCCCTTCGACTCAATTACGAGGTTGCTCAAGGTCGGCTTGGCTGGAGCCCAGGGGTTGCTCAAGGTCGGCTTGGCTGGAGCCCAGGGGAAGAGGAGTCCCAGGGGGGGGCGTCGTATCTGACCCGGGGGGGGGGTCGCTACCCCCCCCCCCCTCCCGGCGGGGGAGGGATCAAAGGGAAGGGGCTTCCCTTCGACTCAATTACGAGGTTGCTCAAGGTCGGCTTGGCTGGAGCCCAGGGGAAGAGGTCTCCCAGGGAAAGGGAAGGACAGAGACGACGAGTACAAAGAATGACGGAGATGACGGCTCGAACGGAAAAGCCCCTCACACACGCCGACAGGGTCGGCGGATTTCACTAGGGACATCCCCACAACAGAGATGTGAGTGACATCGCGTTGGCATCGTTTTTGATGGCATCGGAACGGCCCCGAACGAGCCCCAAACGAGTCCCAATATTACCCCAAGAGCAACCTCGAGATAACTCTGACTGCGCATTTCGCTCGATACATCCTACACCATGGGTTGTTCTCAACACCGTCTTTCAGAACACCACGCATTTCGCCCGATACATCCACCAGACCATGCAAACCACGCAGCCAACCACGCAGAAGCACGGCAGAACGCGCGGGAGCACGGCAGAACACGCAGGAGCACATCCGTAGCCATTTTGGCTCAGGCCTGCCTCGGGCGCGCGCGCGCGGGCGTCTGGGCATGATGGCGCGGGATGTCGCCCCGTGTGGCGACAGTCGGCCTGATGCGAGCGGCGGCCCTGGCTGGCCATCCTCGGCCAAGCGTCGGGAGGCGCGCAAGGCAGCGGCTGCGGCGGCTGAGGCAGCCGTGCACCGCCTGTCGCTCGAGGCGCGGGCCTGGCGCAGGCTCTGCGAGGACCTGGCCGCGGCCCTCGGGGCTGCGGGCGCGGACGGCGAGCTGAGCAGGCGTTTGGCAGCGGCCGCCCCTGCCTTGGCTGCCCTCATCCGTGGGGAGGTGCCGAGTGCGGTCGATCGCCTGAGACGGAACGTGGCCCTCCATGCGGAAGCTGAGGGCATCGACCTGCTGGGCGCTGGGGCTGCGCAACTCCGCGTGGCGCAGCACGGCCCGAGGCTCGGCGCAAAACCCGCGGCTCCCGAGGCGGGCGCCTTCGGTGGTGCCTTAGGGGAGCGGCGGGACGGTGAGCCTGACGAGGATGTGTGCGCACTGCTGGCAGGCGCGGGGGCGGCGGGCCCGCTTCCTGAACTGCCCGCTGCTGCGCTGTATGCTGTGGACCTGGAGAAGGCCCTCTCGGAACCGCGGCTGGCGCCAGGCATGTGGGCAAAGGCGCATGCCGAGACGGTGACCTTCGTTTCGGGCCTGGCGGCGGGGTGGCACCTGGCTGAGCGCGAGCCGCTGCTGCCACCAGGGATGCGGTGCACGTCTGGTGCCGTTGTCTTCTCGGCCCCGCCGGTGGCCTCCGAGGTGCCCCTGGCGGCTTGGCAGACGGAGTGCGCCCTGGCGCCGCCGCCGCGCCCAGCGCTCCTGGAGTGCAGGTCAGGATCGCAAGTGGGAAGTTTGGCAGCCGCCGCGGCCGCGTCCGACGACTTGCTGCTGGGCGCACTGGGCATCGTGGGCTACGACGGCGAGAGAGTGTGCGGCGGCGACGGGGACGACCGCGGCGCCTTCGTGGACCATGCCGCGCCTGCGGCTGGCGTGTCCTCACCGCTGCTTTTGTCCGTCGGTGGCCGCCTGGGCGAGGCCGTCAGCCACAACGACACCGACGACGACAGCGTAGGCGGCCAGGGACAGGAGCATGCCGACTGCGATGCTGCTACTGCCTGCTCCGCCACCGCTGAGGTGGCGATCGGTGGAGTGATCGCAGACTACCTCAGCGAAAACGAAGCCGCAGTCCTCCGTGGAGACGGAGACGGCGGTCGAGTTGCCGCGAGGCTCGCTGAGCTGGCCCTGCCGACCGAGGGCGCCGAGGGCGAAGTGCGGCGAGCTTGGGGTCGTGAGTGAATGTTATGTGAGTTCTGCCTCCTGCACTTGAATGTGCACGTTGTGTATTTGCAATGCAGTCGAGCTGGTTGTTCAGTGAGTTATGCCTCCTGCCTCTGAATGTGCACGTTCTGTATTTGCAATGCAGTCGAGTTTGGGTTGTGATTTTGCCTCCAGCATTTGAATGTGCATGTTGTGTATTTGCAATGCAGTCGGGCTGGTTGTTCTGTGAGTCATGCCTCCTGCATTTGAATGTACACGTTGTGTATTTGCAATGCAGTCGAGTTTGGGTTGTGATCATGTGTAGCTTCTGTTCTCGCAGGGCTTGCATGATTGGCTTGGGTTGGTTGGGGACCTGAGCCAGTGGCTTTGCCGTCCGCCTTCCCTGGCCCGTGTTGTGAGGCGGCTTTAGGTGGCCCCTCTTGGGTGGGCGTGTCTCTGGACTCGGCTTCTTTCGGGAACGCGGGCCCCGTCTGGCCCTGTCTGCGTTTCTGGCCACCGCTTGCCTTGAAGGCCCCGTCTTTAACTTTAACACGCAGGAGCACGGCAATGCAGGGGCACGGCAGAACACATAGGCGCACTCCAGGACACGGCAGAACACACAGGAGGACGAGGAGCACGGCATAACACAGAACGTTGAGGAACACGGCTGAACACGCAGGAGCATGGCAAACACAGAACACGGAGGAGCCCTGCATAACACACAGGAACAAGGCATGACCCACAGTTGCACGCCAGAACACGTAGGAGCACGAGGAGCACGGCACAACACATGCTACATAGGAGCACGGCAGAACAAACAGGAGTTCGGCAGAACACACAGGAGCGCGACAGAACACACAGAACAGATAAGTGCACGGCAGAACGAGCAGGAGTACGGCAGGACACGGAGGAGCACGGCAGAACACGCAGGAGCACGGCATAACACAACGGAACACAGCAGAGGGCGCAGGAGCCCCGCAGACCACGCGGCAGAATCCGTAGCCATTTTGGCTCGAGCGAGCCTGGCTGGCGGCAGGCCCTCGGGCGCGCGCGCTCGCTAGCGGCCATGGGGCATTCTGGATGCGGGGAAGCCTGGGCGGCAGCCTCCGCCCGCGCGTTTGCGCGGCGGCTGCGGCGGGAGTATCGGCGTGCCATCGGGGAGTCGCGGGCGGCGGCGCTGGCGTGGCGTTCGGCCGCCCTCCGCCGTTCCCTGGAGGCTCACTGGCAGCTCGCCGACCGCGCGGGCGCCCGCGCTCCCAAGTTCGGGGGTGCGATCGCGGCCGCGCGGGTCCTCGGGGTCAAGGACGGCCTCCAGGAAGCGCCGGAGGACCTCGCCTTGGGGAACTGGGCGCGGCGCGCCCCACCGCCTGGGCAGGCGCGGCTGCGGCCCGTGGCCGAGGCGACGCAGCTGCTTCCTCCCGGAGCGATCCTGGCGATCGACCTCGAGGCGCAGTTGGCTGCATGAGCTGTGCAGGTTTCGCCCGCGCCGAGCATTGGCGACGGCGAGGGTGACGACGGCTCGGGCCTTTCTGCCTTCGAGCGGAGCCTGGCGGCGGGGCTCGGGGGCAAGACGGGGCAGGACGAGCTGGAGAGCGTGGGCGCGGTGTGGGAGAGCGACGTCGCTGTCGAGGTCTGCGTCGCCGAGCCCGCCGCGGAGCTCTGCCATCCCGCGGAGCCACGGGCGCGCCGGCGGTCAGGCGCCCTGCCGTGCCGGTCGCGGCGCACGCCGCTGCGGGGCGGGGCCGTGCCGCGCGTCCCCCTCAGCCTGCGGAGCTGCGTGGCGACCGCCGAGTCGGTGGTCGAGGCGTTGGGCTGCGGGCCCCTGGCTCCTGCGGACAGGGAAGGCCGTGCGCCGCTGCCTCCCGTCTTGGGACATGCTCGTGCAGAGCGTGGTGCGGCCGATGCCAGCGACGCTGGCTCTTCGAGGCCGTCTACGCGTGGGCCCGTCGAGTATGCCGACGACGTCGCGCCGCGCCTGGGCGGTTGCTGCGTCGTCAGCGACGACGTCGTGGAGGGGCCCGTGGGAGGCTCGGCCATCGAGCACGCCGTCGGCATGGAGCCCCTGGTCGCGGACTCCGTCGGCTGCGCCGCGGGCGATGGCCGCTCGGGCTCGGAGCGCGGGTTCGTTTCATTCCTGGGCGACTTCTCGGCGGCGGCGGTGGCGTGTGCGGCCCATGGGCCGAAGTCGGGAGTTGAGTCGCTCCTGGGCTGGGCCGAGGCCCGCGCCCTTGGCGTCCGCCTCGGCAGTGCAGGTTGTCCAGATGCCGAGGAGCGCGCGCGGCCCCTCGATGGTCTCTTGGTCCGCGCGCCTTGCGCGACGCGGCCCAGGAGTAGTGCGTGGGGCGGGCAGTTGCAGTCTGTATGTAGATCCGTCATCGCCTTTTGGTGCGGCCGCGGTGGAGGCCCAGCGTGGCCCCCGCGGGGAGAGGCGGCCCTAGGCGGCCCCTCTCGAGAGGGCGTGTCTCGAGTGGCGCTCGGTGCCCCTTGAGGCCCCTCGGTTCCTTTTCTTTTCCTTCTCACCCCTCTTGCCTTGAAGGCCCCGTCTTTAACCTTTAACCTTCAACGCGCGGCAGAGCACGCAGTAGTGCGGCAGAGCTCGCATGGGCGCGGCAGACCACGGAGGAGCACGAGGTGCACGGCAGCACAACCATAATAGATCGGAGCACAGCAGAACACACAGGAGCTCGGCATAAGACACACGAGCGCGGCAGATTACACAAAACACGCAGGTGCACGGCAGAATAAGCAGGAGCATGGCAGAACACACAGGAGCACGGCAGACTACACAGCAGCACGGACGAACACATAGAAGCACGGCAGATCAAGACCATGGCAGAACGAGCAGGAGCACGGCGGAACCGATAGGAACACGGCAGAACACGCAGGAGCACGGCAGAACACCCAGACTACCTATTCAGACAGTCGCACGCATCGGTCGGCACAGGCACACGCACACAGGCGCGCGCACACATAGGCATACGCACACGCACACGCTGACACATACACACGCACAAACGCACACACGCACACACGCACACAGGGATGCAACAGACGTTCACGCAGGCCGCAGGAGCACGGTATAGCAGCACGGCACAACACAGCAGTGCCGCAGACCACCACGCACGGACGCACATGCACAGATTCCACGCACGCGCGCGCACGCGCAAACGCACGCACCCCGCGACAGACTTGCGCAGCGCACATTAAGAACGTAGGATATCTCAAAAGCCCAGGGCACAAAAAGACGCTTCCCGTTCTTGTCCGGCCAGGTTCCTCTAACTAGCGATTTCGTTCGAGACACCCTCGCAAAACTGAGATCTTCGCGACATCGCGTTTAACAACCATAAGCGTTTCGCTAGAGACATTTTCGGACAGCTGATCGCCGCGAAATTCACTAATCTGTAAATCAGTTGCGTTTGGCCTGAGACGTCCCAGCCAAAATGAGGTGCCGACGGAGGTGTATGACTACCTCTTATGTTGAAAACAACGTTTTCGCTAAGGGACGTCCTCAGACAATGAGCGGCAGCACGGCGGACCAGAGACAATAATCTTTGCAGTTCGTTGGCGACATCCTCAAAATAATGAGATGTTCTCAACATCGTCTTGACATCGTTCTTGAAGTGTTTCAAGGTGAAGAAATGGGAGCCCACAGAGGACCTTAAAATGGTTCCAAGAGCGCCCTGCTGACTCCCGAACATGACGACTTCGCTGGGGGCATCTTCAAACAATAAAAACATACAACAGCACCAGTTTGAAAACTGCTGTTCTAACATCGTCTTGGGATCCCTCTTGAAAAGGCTTCCAGACGGCCTAAGCCAGGCTTCTATAAATGACGATTTCACTAAGGAAATCCCCGCAAACGAGATGTGTGTGACCTCGCGTTAGAATCGTTTTTGATGTCATCGAAGCGGCCCCGAACGAGCCCCAAGCGAGTCCCAACAATTCGCCAAGAGCGCCCTCGATATCCTTCTAACTGCGCATTTCGCTCGATACATCCTACACCATGAGTTGTTCGCAACACCGCCTTTCAGAACACCAAGCAGCTCGCCCGATATATTCACCAGACCATGCAAACCGCAAGTTTACGAAACGTGTGGCACCAGGGATCTCGCCTGCAGAATCCTCGAAACACTGAGACATTGAGAAGGCTGATTTGAGACCATGCCTGTTAACACTGAGCTCTTCGCCTAAGACATCTTCAGACCATGGGCAGGATCGCGGCAACCCAACGCGCAGAAGCGCGGCCGAACGCGCGGGAGCGCGGCAGAACGCGCAGCAGCACGGCAACACATACAGGAGCGCGGCAGAACCCAAGAAACACACGGGAATAACACGGCAGAGCACGCAGCTGCACAGCCGAAGGCACAGGAGCACGGCAGGGCACACAGGAGCACGAGGAGCACGGCAGACCTTACATAATACATAGGAGCACGGCAGAATGCACAGGAGCCTTGCAGAACGCGCATGCCTGGCAGAACACGCGTAGCACACTCCGTAGCCATTCTGGCTCAAGCGAGCCTGGCTCGCGGCAGGCCCTCGGGCGCGCGGGCGCGCCCGCCAGAGGCCATGGGGCCGTCCGGGTGCGGAGCGGCTTGGGCGGCTGCGTCTGCCCGCACCCTGGCTCGGCGCTTGCGGCGCGCGCGCCGCCAGGAGCTCGGGCTCGCCAGGGCCGCGGCGCAGGCGCAGCGGACCACGGTCCTGCGGCGTGCGCTGGCGGCGCACTGGCAGCTCGCCGACGTCCTCGGCGGCTTCGCGCCCTGCCGCGGCGACGCCCTGGCTGCTGTGAGGCTGCTCGGCGCCGCGCCTGCGGTGCTCCTCGATGCCCAGTTCGACTTCGAGGATGGCAACTGGGCGCGGCACGCGCCGCCTCCTGGACATGCTCGTCTGCGGCCTGTCCCCGCCGAAGCGCGCCGCGCGGAGGCTGCCGAGGCGGCCTTGGCGCAGGCCCGGGCCCTGGGCGCTGGGCCGCCCGCGGCGCCTCTGACTGAGGAGCGGCCGCCAGGGGCGTGGCACGAGGTCTACTTGCGCGAGCGGGGCAACGCGCCAGCCGGTGGCGATGTGAAGGAGCCCTCGGCGCTCTCTGGGATCCGCGTCGGGCCGCGCGCCCTGCCGCTGGCCGAGGTGCTGGCGCCTGATGCGTGGCAGGCCTTCGACCTCGTCGCGGCGTCCGCGGGCCGGGCCTTCGCGCAGGGGGTTGCGGCGGGCTGGCGGCTCGCTGTTCTGGAAGCCGAGGCCGAGGGCGAGCGCCAGCGGGCAGACCCCGACGACGTGAGCTACGACGGCGAGTGCGTGTGCGGCGGCGACGGGGACGACGGCGGCGCCTTCGTGGACCTTGCCGCGCCTGCGGCTGGCGAGTCCTCGCCGCCGCCGTTGCCCGTCAGTGGCCGCCTGGGCGAGGCCGTCAGCCACAGCGACAGCAACGGCAACAGCGTAGGCGGCCAGGTGCAGGAGCATGCCGACGGCGATGCTGCTTTTGCCTGCTCTGCCACCGCTGCGTCGGCGCTCAGTGGACCGGACTACCTCGGCGAGAACGAAGCCGCACTCCTCCGTGGAGACGGAGACAGCGTTCGAGCTGCTGGCCGCGCCGCCCGAGGACGCCGAGGGCGACGTGCGGCGATGGCTTACCGACTGGTCGAAGGTAGCTCACATTTGCTCCCTGCAGGAGCAGTTGCGGGCTGCTATGAAGGAAGCGCAGGTCCTGCGCTGGAAGGCAGGTTGGCTCGAGATAGATTCCATCGGAGTGAGGTGCAGGGCAGGCGTGCCTTTTGTCCTTAAGGAATCTGGGGCCGCCAGCTGCCAATTATTCCAGGTGTCTGGGAGGCCAGCCTCGAGGAGTCGATCGAGGTGGAGCCCCAGGTTTGTTGAGTCGGGAGGTCATTCATCGCCTCATCTTGGAATGGCGATTGGGATCGTGAGTGATTTTTCGGTGGGTGATGCCTCCTGCATTTGAATGTACGCGTGGTGTATTTGCAGTGCAGTCGAGCTTGGGTAGTGATCATGCGTAGCTTCTGTTCTCGCAGTGCTTGCATGATTGGCTGGGCGGGTTGGGGACCAGAGCCAGTGGCTTTGCCGTCCGCCTTCCCTGGCCCGTGTGGAGGGGCGGCCCTAGGTGGCCCCTCTGTGGAGGGCGTGTCTCGGGCGGCGCTGGAGGCCCCCTGAGGCCCCTCGGCCCTCTTCTCTTTTTCCTGCCTTTAAGGCCCCGTCTTTAACTTTAACTTTAACGCTCATAGCACACAGGGGCACTGCAGAACGCACAGGAGCACAGCAGAACACACAGGAGCACGGCAGAAAACAGGAGCAGGAGGAGCGCGGCAGAGCACGGCAGAAAAAAAAGGCAGCAGCGCGGCAGAACCCGCAGGAGCAAGGCAGGACTCCACACAGGAGCACGGCAGAGCACACGCACAAGACACATAGCAGCACGGCAGACCAAGCAGGAGCGCGGCATAACACAGGAGCACGGCAGTACACGCAGGAGCACGGCAGAACAGACAGGTGCACGGCATACTTGACGGCAGAACACATAGGAGCACGGCAGAACGCGCAGGACGACAAAGAGCACGGCAGAACACAGAGTACATAGGAGCACGGCAGAACACGCAGGAGCTCGGCAGAACACAGGAGCGCGGTCCGTAGCCATTTTGGCTCAAGCCTGCCTTGGGCGCCAGGCGGGCGGCAGCGTTGGGTCCTGCGCTTCTCGCCTGCTCAGGGGGAAGCGTTGTCCTCTTGCCGCGGCCATAGCCCTGGCGGTGGCTACGGTCCCGCCCCCGCGGGGGGGCGAGCGCAGGCTGCTGGCGGCGGTGGCGCCGCTCGTGCAGGCCGCGGCGCATGGGGCAGCGGCTGGAGACGGCGCCCGCCAGGTGGCGGCGGCCCCGGCGGCGGCGGCCACCCGCGCGCGCGCGGAGGTGCTGGCTGAAGGCGACAGCGACGACGGCGAGATCGACAAGGAGGTGGCAGTGCGCGAGAAGCTCGCACGGCCGCACCTGCGGCTCCACGTCGCCGCAGGGCGCGATGGGGTGCGGGCCCAGCTCTCTAGGGCCTGCCGCGCATTCCGCCACTGGGCGCTCCGCGCGGGCTTCGGGGGCGGGGCGGCGGCGGCGCCTGCGACGGCGGTGGGGGCCAAGAGGCGCGTCCGCGGGCAGCGCAAGAGAGGCCGCGGCGGCCTGGAGAGGGACCCGCCGCCGGCCGGCACGCTGGAGCTGGAGAGCAGCAGCGGGGGCTCCTTCTCCGAGGGCGCGTCGGGGATGCCGACGTGCTGAGCGAGAGGGGGGGGGGGGTGAAGGACATCGAGGGCGCCCCAAACTGCAAGGCCACAGACGAGCTGAAGGAGAGGTCCTTGCTTAAGCCAGTGGCGAAGCAGATGGGGGGGCCGACGGCAAAGGCCAGCGGGTGCGCCCCAGACAGCAAGGCTGAGAAGGTGGGGGTACTGGTCTCGGACATGAGCGTTGGAGACGTGCTGGGCCTGGAGAACACCCGCTTCTGCAAGCAGAGGTCCCAGTGCGACCCCGAGACGCAGGAGGAGCTGAGGAAGCCGGGCGCGCTGGTCGGGGGCGCGGTCGACAACAGCGCGGAGGCTTGCGCGCAGGACTGGTTCGTCGGGGAGCTGTCCGTGGGCACGCAGACGGTGGACCAGGTCGAGGGCGAGGGGCAGCAGCAAGGCGTCGGCTCCGTCAAGAGCGATGCTGACCGAGTGGAGCAGCTGGCGCTGGAGAAACCGTTCTGGGCGACGCATCCTTTGGGCGCAGTGCGGGCTCAGGCGGAGACCGAGGCGCTCGGCGCCGCCATGCTGGCGAAAGCTGCCCTCCAGCGCGGCGACATCGCCGAGGGCCTTCGGCTGCTGGAGGCGGCACAGGCGAAGCACCTGGAGAGCGTGCCCAGGCGCCCTGGCGAGTGCTCAGAGTGATGTTCCTCCTTCCCCTGATCATGTGTAGGTCTTGTTATGTTGCGCAGTGCTTGCATGGTTCTGGTTTGCGAGTCGAATGGGATATTGTGTAGTATCTGTTCCTTTCAGTGCTGCGCCAGATGCGATCTTGTTTAGTATATGCTCTTGTCAGTGCTGCACTTGATGGTTGTCTTGTGTAGCATATGCCAGAGGCTTCGCCTTCCTGTCTGTGCTGCACTTGTCTGGGAGGGGGCCCAACGCGGCCTCGGCCCTTCCGCGCCCCCCTCGTTTTTTTTTTGTTCCCCGCCTTTAAGTCCCCACCAACCAACCAACACAGGGGCGCGGCAGATCAGGAGCACGGCAAGAAAAGCAGCAGTACGGCAGAACACGCAGGAGCACGGCAGAACACACAGGAGCACGGCAGAACACACAGGAGCACGGCAGAGCATGACCATGGCCGCATACTCACACAGGAACACGTTAGAACACACAGGAACACGGCAGAACACGCAGCAACGCCGCAGAACACACATATCATGTATTTACTCAGCCGCACCCGCAGGCACACGCACATAGGCTCACGCACGCAGGCACACGCACACAGGCACACGCACACGCACACGCACACACCGACGCATACGCACACACACACACACACACGCGCACACAAACGCACACACAGGGAGAGCACGGCAGAGCAGCACGGCATAACACAGCAGTGCCACAGACCACCGCGCAGGGACGCGCGTGCACATATTCCGCGCACGCACGCGCATGCGCAGTCGCACGCACGCCACGACAGATCTGCGCGGCACGTCAACAGAAGAGCATACTTCACGTCTTTAGTGGACACAAGCGACGCTTCCCGATCCTTATCCCGTCAGGCTTCTGGTCCGCAGATGCAGATCCTTCAGCCATGGGGATCAGAGGAGGAGGGGAATGAGGAGGATGACGAGGAGGAGGAGGAGGAGGAGGAGGAGGAGGAGGAGGAGGAGGAGGAGGAGGAGGAGGAGGAGGGGGAGGAGGAGGAGGAGGGGAATGAGGAGGAGGAGGAGGGGAAGGAGGAGGAGGAGGAGGAGGAGGAGGAGGAGGAGGAGGAGGCGGACGGGAAGTGAAGGCGCGCTGCTGGCAGAGGTGGCTGTGGTCCTTGCAGCTGGCGGGCGCCCGACGGCGCCGGCCGCCGCCGACGTGGTGCGCGACGGCGTCGCCCGTGCAAGTCCAGGGCGACCACGCCGCCGCCTCGGCGAGGGTGCGCCCTGCGGCGGCCCGCCCGGGCGCGGAGAGGGGGAGGGAACTTTGCCGCCTCGGAAGCTCCAGGGGCGGGTGCCGCTTGCTTTCCCTTCCCTGTCACCCCCCCCCCGTTAAAACGACGCGAAGATCGGGACAAAATCGGATCGGGATAACTCGAAATCTCTGAGAATCGGCGGGTTTGGAGGATGTATTGGGCGCCGCGGCCGCTCCAGAGCGTTCCGGAACGCTCTGAGAGCGCTCCGGAACGTTCTGGAGCGATTTATCCGGATCCTAGCCCTGTTTTACTCGTCCTTCCCCCTCCCCTCCCTCCCGCATTACCTCCTCGTCTCCTCCGTGGGGGCCTGGGGCGAGTGCCGCTTGCTGTCCCTTCCCTTTCACCCCCCCCTCGTCCTTCGTACAATGCATAGCGTACCATTTCGGGATCATTGCCCTGCTCGACACCCGATTGTGCGAGTAGGGAGGGGATCTGCGCCATGGTAAGGGATGGGAGGGAGGGGTAGGATGTCAGATATGACGCGAGCGCACCTAGCTTGTCCTTCCCCCTCCCCTCCCTCCCTCATCACCTCCTCGTCTCCTCCGAGGGGGCCTGGGAGTTGATGTGGTCCGGGCCCCCGGAGCTCGCAGGGCCCCGCCAGGGGCTCCTGGAGAGCTCCGGAGGCCCCAGCAGCCCTAAGGCCCCCACGAGGCCTCCAAGAGGCTTCCCAACAGCCCCCCAGAGCCCCATTAACCGCTTTCTGCAGGCTCCCGCGAGGCCTTCCAGGAGACTCCATAAGCTTGGCCAGCGCTGCGGCTGGCTACCCTGACGAGTTGCGGCCCACCTTTGGGCAGGCCGCCGACAGAGGTCGGTTGTCCACGGGACCACCCAACATCACCTGCACCGGCTACATCCTGGAAAATGAGGCGGCCCGACACGTGCTGATGGGCTTCGTTCTGCTGAGGGACCTCCTCACCAGCCAACGCTTGGGGTTACAGGTCACGTTCACAACGGGCACTCCTTTTCCAGCTCCCTACCCCACGCCAGCCACTGCAGCCGCACTCCATTGCCGATCACAACACGTGCGGTGTGGCCGCCTTCCTGTATGGTCAACGTGATACCAAGGTGTTGAAATCACCGTTCGAACCCAGGCATCCGGCATAATGATTGGTTGACGAAGTGGGCTCCAAGAAGTCTCGGCACCATATTGGACTGTGTTTCCCTACATCCTAAGTGGGGTTATTGTTGTCTCTGCACACGCCGTGCAATAACCTTACAGCTCCTTCCCCTCCTCTTACCGTCATCTTCATCATCACCACCATCAGCATCAACATCAGCTTCATCATTATTATCGCATCTTCTCTCCTCTCGTCTTCCCAGCAACACCATCATTATCATCACCTCCATCATCATCACCATCATCATCTTCATCATCAGCACCAACATCACCATCACAGTCGCCATCACCACCATCATCACCACTGTCATCAGCATCAGCATCATCATCAGCATCGTCAACACCAGCATCCTCGTAATAATCATCATGATCATCAGCATCATCATCATCACCATCACCATCACCATCATCACCATCGCTATCTACATCATCATCACCACCATTATCATCAACATCATCATCGTCACTAGCATCGTCACTAGCATCAACATTTGGTGAATCTTGTCGTGTCCTTCGCAGCGCATCTGATGGCTCGATGCCCCTTTCCGCGCCGCGTGCGTCGCGGGGTGTTCTTCGCGACGCCGCAGCGCACGGCCGGGCCCGGACTCGCTCGGGCCCCGTTGTAGCGACTGCCGTGCTTCGGGGGCGGAAAAGGGGGGGGGTGATGACTAGGGGGGGATATCATGGCGGGGGCAATGAGGTTTCCCCAGATTTCATGGCGCCTCCTCTTGTTTCATTGCGCACCTGGCCCCCCCCGCTGGGCCGCACACTTGCCGCCGGTTGTGATCTGCACCCCCCCCTCCTTGGACACCCCCCCTCTTGGCCGCTCCCGAGTGCTGGTGCATCGAAAAGCCGGCTCGGGGTGCGTGACGCATGTCGCGCGCCTTCGGCACTCGTCTGGCGAGCCCGTGCCAGGGCTTTGGTCGGGGCGGTGCGGCAGGCCCGCGAAGTGCCGAAGTCGCAGGGCGGGAGCTCGCGCGACGCTTCTCGGGCGGCCGCGCGGCTACGGATTCCAGCGGGGGCCCTGGTCGCAGGCAGGCCCTCTCGCTCCCGATTTTTTCCTCTGCCGCGCCTGCGTGCTTCTCCTTCGGGGCCCCCCCCCCTCGCCCCCGCGCAGGCTGGCGCGCGGGCGCGGTGCGGCGTGGTGCCTCGAAGTCGTCGTCGTCGTCGTCGTCGTCCTCGTCGTCCTCGTCCTCGTCCTCGTCCTCGCCCTCGTGGTCCCTTTCGCGTGGAAGGTAGGGGGTGGCGCGCCCCTTGTCGCGCCTGGAGCGCGTGGCGAAGCGGCCCCGCAAGCGGAAGCGGCGGGGGGATGCCTCGCAGCGGCAGCCGTCGTCGCATTCGACGTCGCGTCCGTCGTCTTCGCCTTCGTGGTCATCGCTGTCGTCGTCGCTCGCCACCCCGAGCCCGCGCGTCGGGGCGAACGGGCCCCCGGCGCTTCCCCGTGCGATTGCGCCCGCTTGGTTCGCATCTTCTCCCATGGGAGCGGACAACCCGTTCGCTGGACGGTTCTGAGGGGCGGCTGTGCCGGCCGAGCAGTGATCTCGTGCGTTCTGGGGCCGCCCCCATATCAGGGCGCACTCGCGCGCGCGCCTCGGAACCCCGCGCCCGCAAGCCTATCGGGGCTCGCTGCGACGAGCTTGCCCTTTGCCCCCCCGCTGCTTTTTGGCGGGGCAAGTGCGCGCGCGCTCTTGCGTCTCCTTGAGTTCGGGGCCCGCCTGGGAAGGCCTGCAGGGGCCAAGGTTGAGGCTTCCAGGATGTTCAGTGGGCCATCCAGGAAGCTATCAGTGAAGCACTTGCGCGCGGGCTGAAAGGTCCCTTTCGCGACCTTTCCGCGCGGCGCTGCGCGGGCGCATAATGCAGCTCACGGGCCCGAGGTTCGCGGGCGCCCCCCCACCCCTTCCGCGAGCAAGTAGCTTTGGCCTGTGACCCCGGGGCCGTGCCGCGGACTTCGCGGGCCCCTGACTGCGCGCCCGAAGAGCTTTCGACCCTCGGTCATGGCTCCCAGGCACCAGGCAACCGGCAACTCTTGGCCCTGGACTCCAGCTTTGATCCAGTCAGTGACCTTGCCATCTGGGTCAGCGCGCCCGTGCCCTGGAAGGCCGGCGTGGATGGGCATAACTCAGGAGGGGAGAAAACACACAGACACAATTAATCGTCCACTCCCAGGAAAAGATGGGAAAATATGGGAAGTGGGGGGAAAGACAAAAACTCAGAAAATATGTGAAGATATGGGGAATCATTTTATTTGTGTGTATTTATTTGTGTGTTTGTGGGCCTCTTCAATAACGCGGCGAAGGACATCGACGTTGCCATCCAGCGAGCACTCGAATCCCTTGCCAATAGCCTCGCTGGGAGTCGTCGGCCCTTCTCTGCGGGGCCCATGGGGGGCCCCGCCACTTCGCCGCGGGGCGCCGCGGCCCCCCCGCTTTGATCCTGGGGCGCCTTGGTGCCGCGGCGCCCTTCGACAGCGCGGCCGATGGGGGTCGCGCGCCCTGGGCTGCCGCGGTGTCCGTGGGCCTTGGCTTCAGAGTCGAAGGAGTTGTGCGCGTTTTCTGTCGAGGGCCCTTGACTCGGCCCTCGCCCGAGTCAAGGGCCCGGAGGTGCCGCCCGCGCGCGCCAGGCTTGCCCACCCGAGATGCCACCGGAAGAGGGCGCCGACGAATGCTTCAGGCGATGCCAGTTTCACATCGCCGGGCCTTCATAGCGAAAGTTGGGTGAATGATCAACTGTCTTGTCTTTTACAGCGCGGAGAACCATTTTGGGCGTCGACGGGCAAGATTCGGAGCTGTTACTCGGCGTGGTTCGCAGCCCCATTCGGGGCGTCGGCGGGCCTGTTTCGGAGCAGATGCGCGGTCGCCGCAGGCAGGGCTCGGTGGTTAGATTCGTTGAGCTGACGGGGGCCGCGCGACCCTCCCCCGTTTTTCATGTCATCTCCGCCTCGCCCCTTTGGTCCGCCTTTCTCTCTG